TTAAAACTTTTAAAATTTCTAATAAGCACTTGAGAACTAAAATATTAAACTGTAGTATTCTCTTCCATCTGCAATATTTCTCCTGATACATTTAATGGCGAGAACTCATTTTCATCCTATTTTTCATAAGATTTCACTTCAATAATGAGCAAGACTTTCATTCATTAGTATCATTTATGGCTCTTTACAAGATATTAATAGAGTGTTGATAATCTATAAAGCTGGGTGATAGTACATGGGGGCTCATTAAACCATTTTCTTTATGTTTGAGAAATTCCATAAGAAGAAGGAAAAAATATTCATAACCCCATTTACCTAAGTTAAGTTACATTTCCTACTATTCACAGAGTTCAGAAAAGTTCTAAAAAGCATAATAGAAAAGAAAAAAATGACATTGAACTTAACATAATATCCATATTAATTTAACTTATTGAAATAAGACCTCAATGCCCTATTTAAAATGTGCCCACACATCAAATTTATATACAATATACTTCTTCCCGAAGAACTTTGAAGTGTTGTGGTTGTGGAAGACAGGCTGTAATAAATTCTTTAGTGTCTCTGATGGCTTTCAAGGTGGTAGACGCATAAGAGCAGAGGGAGGCATAGAAAAGTTAAATTAGATACCCTCTGGCCATAAAAGGAAGCAGAATGGAGAAATATTCAGAATCACGAACTTTGAGTTGAAAGTCATCTAGTCAATCCCTTTATCCAGTTCTGAGAGACTGATATATCGCTTCTCAAAGCGGACATCAGTTTCGCCATGAACAGTGTCCTGGCTTGTTTTGTCATCACTGGTAGGGGAAAGCGAGCCTTGAGAGAGAAGCCATTTTCTTAAATAAATGAAATGAGAAACATTCTTCAGCTCCCAATTTGGGAGGGGGAAAAAAAAATGACAAATGGTTTTCACCGAGACAAAATACATTTTCGAATTTGAAATGCACTGTCCTTATTTGCCAAGGGAGGTGGCTGTCACAACAGCCCATATGTGAACCACATTTTCCCCTTAATCATAAAAGTTGATAGTAGACAATTAACTATTAGTGTGCATAGGGACTTGTTTTTTTTTCCCCCTCTACATTGTAAAATGAATTATTCTCAATACTACAAATTTTAAAAAAAGACCATTACAAACTGTTAAAACAAATGGGTATCGCTTTGTTTTTTGTATTTTATTAACATGGAAAAGAAAACCTTTCTATTCTTAAAAATTTTAAGGAAAATGAGTCACAGCACATTCTGCATTTTCTAGTTCATCTCACGTGGTGGGGGCAGGGATTGAGAACAATCCATCTAACCTATTTGTAGAAAAAAAAATTAGTTTTTTATGCTTTTTCTAAAAGCTATAATACTTGAGATGTGAATCTGTCAACGTGGGTTACTTAGTCGGTTATTGAAACAAACTCTTCGGATGATAGTGCTGTGTTGTTATTCTTAACAATGAGCTCAGTTCTTGTTCCCTTAAGCATCGCCCCCTACCCCTTTCCACATGCCACGCTCCACTTAAAGTTAATGGGAATGCCAACAGAGAAACGATATGTAAAGAAAAGGATAAGGTCCTAACAAGCTCCAAATGGAACAGTACATGCTGCCAATAATCCTTCAAATGATCATCATTTTAAAATGTGCCTTTCTCTTATCATTTTAAAATTTGCACTCCAACTTATAAAATTCATGTTCATTTATGCTTTGCTACCATGGCCTTAGCGGGCAGAAAGCACGAAACCTCAGGGAGATTATGAAACCTCCCCATGCCTCGTTTCCATCCCAGTCCTAGAAACCAGCACTTTACCTCCCACATCTAAGTCACTGTAAGGAGCGGAGGGTCTTAAATAAGCACTTCCAGCTCCAAGCTGCGAGGGAAAAAATTAGCACATAGCTAACCTTCAGCTATCTGTGGTTAAATAAGGTGGGTACAGTATATTGTCTATGTTAAAATTCTGCAGACAACCCAAGATGTCATTTCAAACAACAGTTCAGCGCTCTCCTCTGGGATAGTTCCCACTCTCATGGCTTAAAACCCTCCCTGCCCACCTTGTGGCAGATCTAATAAGAACAGCAGAGCCGAGCAAGGGTAAGAAGTAACAGGACAGGGAGAAGGAAGAATCCTGGGTCGTCCACAAACTATAGCATCAGCCCCCAAATTGGTGAACTACACTGTTATTTCAAAAGCACTATGTGTTTGGGACTTTTATGATCCTGCTGATTTTTTGTTAAATTATCTGTATTTTCATCGAGTCATAGTCACATAGNTCTTAGCTGTGGAGGGCAGTGTCACTGGCCCTCATATGTGGGATCCGAACCGGGGCCCTCTGGCGTCCCAAGCCAGTTCTTAACCATCGCGCCAGTCGGCTGGCCCCACAATGTATTTTTACCAGAAAGCTCTCATCCAGAACATTACACCATCCCCTTTTCTGAAGGGAGGGGCCGCCAGCACTTCATTTCCTATATTATCCTGCAGGGTTAAGACCAATGACTCTGGAGACAAACATTCTGTATTTGAAGCCTGGCTCTGCTATTTGCTCGATAAATAGCTTAGGGCAAGTTGCTTCACCTCTCTATGCCCCAGTTTCTCCTTCTGTAAAATGGTGATAATAATAGGGTTATAATGAGGATTAAGTGAGAGATATGTGAAGTACTTAGTACAGGGCCTTGTGCATAAGTATTAAATGAATATCACAATTATTTTATGACTGCAACTGTTGGTGTTACCATTACTGCTTTCCCTGAATCCTGAGATGCACTGAGTTAGGATTTAACGAGTGGCTTCCACCTTTTCAACACTCCTTTATACACGTGAGAATCATGTCAATGGCAATTTCATGAGCAAGAAAGAAAACTGCATGAAAGAGAGACTATGCTGACTTTATAAGACAGACAGCGCAGTGAACAAAAGTTGTCCATTAGAATTAGCTTTAGAAGTTGACCAAACGACTTAACATACAAATCAGATGAAAATGAGGATGGACAGTTTTATCTGCAATTAAATATCCACTTCTTCCCAGACCTAAAGACGGCCTTTCCTTGAATTTCAGAAACCTAACAGATGATGCCAAGTTGACTGGGGACTCACCAGACACAACCGATCAGCACCATCACAGCTGAACAGAGAAACGGCTCCCCAGCATCCCAGCGCACCCCAATTAGGATCAATGTCTCCTACAGAGTCGGCCAAGCATTTGATTTTCAACAAGAAATAAGCATTCAACTTCCTTATGGAATCTTTTCCAAAAATGTGATAAAGCACTCAATATGAATAAAATTACAATCTAGATCTTACTGCATATGAAGTCAGCTGTAGGTACCAACTTAATATGCCGTGATTAGGAGTACAAATGCTTTATTAAAAATAAAGGGTGAAGGGGGGGTGGCCGATGAGCGTAAAGGGGGTCAAATACATGGTGATGGAAGGAGAAGTGACTCTGGGTGGTGAGCACACAATGCAATATACAGATGATATATTATAGAATTATACACTTGAAACCTATATAATATTACTAACAATGTCACAATAAATTTAATAAAAAAAGATAATTAAGAGTGAAAGCCAATTTATATAATTTGTGAAGGAATATGTGTACATGAAGCCAGATATAGAAATGTGAGTAAGTCCGATCCCCAACTCACAAAGATTGGTGACATACACTGTTCCCAGTGGGATATAAGAACTCACTTCCCATGTCTCTTCTCTTTAAATGGCAGGCATGGGCAACACCAGCCCAAGGTTATTCTCATGGCTACCATTTTCCTGCGCTGCCATTTCAGGCATTCCTACCGCTATCTGCCTACACAAAATTTCACAGGAACACATTTACTTCAGAAAGTCACGTGCCTTTGGTTGCAATTAAAACTTAAAACAAGGTAATTAGAAATCATCACATTTTTGAAAACAAAGAATTGTATGTATTTATTTTTAAAAAATAAGCCTTCGTTAACTATTGCTGTAGGAGTACGACATTTCTAAGCTGGCATTTAATGTGACATCCCTTGAGAAGCCAATAATGGGTCCTAATACATCCCTTAGTGTAGACTTTTAACTAAAACCAAGACATATAAAGCACGACATTACCTTATTATCTTCTAGGTCGATCACTTCCAAGAAGTCGTGATTCTCTAAGCCTTGGAAGCTACTGATCTGATTGTAGGACAGATCCACGGTCTGCAGAGCTTTTAGGTCATCCAGACCTGTGATCTTCTCAATCTGGTTGTGGCTCTAAAATTGATAACATACACTCAGTGTCTCTAGTAGGAAAAAGTAATGACAAAAGTTTTTTCTGGATACTGCCCTGAATCTCTTCAAATCAACAAGTCATTTGTGTCCGTCCCATCCCCCATTTCCATCATTCACCTTCCTAAACACATATACAAAACACCCCAGGAAGAAATCCCCGTTTTTCAGCTGAAAGACTCTGAATATATAATACTATTTTCACTGATGTTAAAGCACGATGCACGTTCAAATCAGTAGGATAGACAAAAGTTAGGTAGCATNTGCTGAACAACAGCTCAACCTGGAGCTGGGCTGCCGTGAGTCGCCGGTGGCGGCGTAGGCTGCAGCCCCTGCTGCAGTGGGTTGCCATGGGCTACCGTATGTAGCCAGCAGCCAGAATGAGCGGCCAGCAGCCGCAGTGAGCGGCCGTCCAGAAGCCGGCGACTGATCTGCCTCGCCCCGGAAGAGCGCAGTGATGGTGCCAACTTGGGCCAGTGAAGCAACGTCCTCCACAACTAGATTGAAGAACAAAACGACAGCGACTTGTCTGTTTCCCTTCCCCCAATTCCCCAGCACTGTTCCCATCCCCATAATTCCCCAATAAAAAAATCTAAAAAAAGAAAAAAACAAAAAGTACTTCTTGAAGAAGAGTTCCGAGAAAGTCCTCATCTCCCTCCCTGACAGAAATGGTCTGTTACCTGAACTGGATTTCTTAGAAGATTGAGAACTCGAAGGAGACGTAGGTTTTCAATGTATTCTATTTCACCCAGCTCAGCAATCTGTTTAATCAAAGAAAGAAAATATTGTCAACAGACTGAATGCACAAAGATCATAGAAAGCATAATATTGGAGGAGCTATTTTGGACCCTTTAAATTCAACTTATTTTAAAATTGCCCTGTTGAATATCCAGCTTCTTTATGAGAATTTCACAAAGCTCCACAGAACCAGGGGATCATGGCATGTCCCTTCATGGATGTGAACACACACGGGCAAGCTTTCTTTTTTCCTCTCTGGCTAGAGAACAGGGAGGTGTTCCTCATCTCAGCCATGTTTCTTTTAAGGCAGAAATAAAACAGAATGTTGAATCAGTACAAAAAATGCATGCAGTGGTTGCTGGTTCTCCACCCCTCCCCCCAACCCTTCCAGCCCCCCAGTTCCCCAGTCTCTCTCCTTCACCCGGCTTGTTGGTTTGGTTATTTGTGATTGGTGAAGCCTTCTTACTGCATGGACATCTGTAGCTCTATCATTTTTTTCAATAAGATAATTATTTTAAGGAAAGACAAAAATGAAAATTGTTTGACATTTCTTGACGTGGGTGTCACATAGGTGTTCACCTTAAAAACGTTGCTAGAATGTACATTTATGTTTTATACTCTCTTCTGTGCAGGTAATGTTTCACAACTTTTAAAAGTAAGGGGAAAAAAAAGGTTACTTAATTTGACTAAGGATAGAGCTTAGGTCGCCACATGCCTGAATTTTCCGCTAAGCCGAAGACAAACACTTTTACTTGCATTTCCTGTAATTGGCATAATTATAATTTTATTTCAAACACAGATACTGAACTTTTGCAAAAAGCTAATAATCACTTTTCATTTCAATTTCTCCCCAAGTCGTTTCTGCAGGCACTGTAAAAGCACTCCAACAGCAGCCGCTGATAATCCCTGACTTATCAAACCACAAAATGCAGCTAAAATGCAAACTATTCCCAAAGCTCCATCAGGGCAAGCACATATGCGCCACATTTAAAGGATGCCATTTTCAAAGCTATAATATTAAAGGCAAGTTTCGAGATACACTATACAACCCACACACATTAATCTGGTTATAGCAACATTATGCTATTATACACAGCTTTTTCCTTAAGATGACTAGGCAGCCCATTAGACTGCCATTTTGATCATCTACAAGATAAAAGGATCGATTTTTTTTATATTGCGTTATTCAGGGAGGTGGAAAAGTAAACTTGGTGCGCACTGCTCAGTTGGACCTTTCAAACAATGGATTGATTTCTCTCTCGCATACAGCTCTTGTGTTTGGACCTAACGCAAACATTAGGAGATGTTTTCCTGCCGTCAACGTGTCTCACCAACAAGTCCTGGCCATGTGCACTCACAGAAAGTGCTGGTGCCATGTGGACATTGGCACATTTTTTTCTAAAGGGCAATCTTATGTCTCATATATGCATAAGCCATGAACCAGCTATCCCACTTCAAGAAGCTTATACTGAAGAGATCATCAGACAGGCAAAAATTAGATATGAGAATGCTCAGTTTAATGTTTTTAGTAGAAGTTAAAAATATCCTCAATTCCTAAAAACCCATCATTATGTGATTAAATGAGTCATGGTACAGTCCCACAATAGGAACACTATGCACCCAATTTAGGAGATGGAGGCATCTATGGTGATTGACAGGGAAGGATCTGGAAACGTTGCAAACATCATGAACTGAATGACCATGGAATCCATAACATTATATTACCACTAATTTGTCAGCTGGGATCACTGATCTTTCGAGAGTCAAATGAAAGTGGTCCGGCTTCCCTCGCAGACCTTCCAAAGGTAGGGACGAGGCTGGCAAGGGCAGAGGGCAGCCAGGCTGGGGTCGCCTGGCTTCAAGTTCCCACGCCTGCCGAGTGAGCAACGCGCAGCTGGTGTGTGCGCTCTCCCTCTCCCGTACACCTCGCCCCACAGCAGACCCACCCTCATGCCTTCTCTCGTCAAATGCCAAGACCCAAGGCTGTACAGGTCACAGAAGATCACAGACGGTGTGGGGGCCAGTACCTCGAGTGACCTAAAATGAAGTATTGCCAGAAAGGTGATATTCTGAGAGGAAAATCGGCCCTCTGCTGCTAAGAATGTCACACCAGCACAGCTGACCCCAGGTTCCAGTCTGCTCCTCTTCTAGAACCTACTCTGCCCCTGCTGGCTACCCTCTACCCTCCAGAAGCTGTCAGCTCCGACTTCGTAGAGAGAGCAGTTTAGTTGACTCCTTTTTTGCCCTTTTCTTCTAGGCCACGTTCTCCAAGCCTCACCATCCAGACCTAAAGGGGCCTGTCAAAGCTTTTCCTTCAGATAGACAGACAGATAGACAGATGTGTGACATAATGACATTAAGGCTCAGAAAAGTAAAACAGCACTCCCTAAGTAACTCCCAGACCAATATCTTGCTTCTAGAAGAAAGAAATAAGGTTATAATAGAGTTAACAGTTTTGGGATAAGTTTTAAATGCTAGAAACATCAAAGCTAACAAGGTCTATAGCGTAGAGAGTGACAAATAGCCCCCAAATCCCCAGTTGATGGTAAACATTTGCAGAGGAATTTAAAAGAGATATTCAAATGATCATATGAAAATACAGCGATGTTTCAACTGCTAAAACCGAATAAATGATGCTGATGAAAGTGCTACCAATAAAACAACATTCCTGACATCAAATTAATCATTTGAGAAGCAACAGCTATGTTATCTTTCTTTTACAAGATAAATTTTCCATCCCTGATACACAGCATTCTCAATGGTACTGGAGGAGCCTCTGAGGAAATCTTTGGATGGCTCAAAGAATATTTCAAAGTACTGTTGTTTGCTTCCCAACCGGCCCAGTGGGGAGCTAGGGAATTATGTTATTGTTACAAACCTAATCGTTGCCAAAGATCCTCCTTTGGGACATGTGACCACTTTTTTTTTTTAATGGAGTCTCTTTAATATTTGAACATTATAAACTCCTTTCTTCACTTAATGATATCCCTTTGTTCCTTAAACATTTTCAAATGTAATTTGAAAAGTCGTTTGAAATGGAAGAGAACAAAATATTATTCATGAGGTCTTTCTAGACCAGCGAGCGCTATCCAGTATGGTCGTTACCAGCCACGTGTGGCTACTTAGCACTCGGAATGTGGGTAAGGTGAATTGAAATGCACTATAAGTGTAAAATACACACCAGGTGTCGAAACCTTAGTACGAAGCAACAGAATATAAAATATCTCATCAATAATTTTTTATATAGATTACATAACGAAATGGTAATATATTGGATGTACTGGGCTACGTAAAATATATTATTAAAGTAAATTTCACCTGTTTCTTTTTACCTTTTTCTTGTGGCCACTAGAAAATTTAAAACTGCCTATGCGGCTCACATTTATAGTTCACAATGTATTTTTTCTTTTTTATTGGGGAATTGGGGGGATGGGAACAGTGCTGGGGGAATTGGGGGAAGGGGAACAGA